TTCGTGTGAGATTTAGAATGAACTGCAATACCGGCGCCGGCCAGTAGGTGGCGCTGTGTATGGAGAGAGACAGGGATAGGAAGCTGCATCTTATCCCTGCTTCTCTCTGCTGATTGAAACCGCAGGGGAGCAACACATGCAGCCAGAGACAGCCTACAGATCAGGTAAGTGTGGGATGGGGTGGGGGGTTTGAGATAGCCTATAGATTAGGGGGGCAGCAGCCTATAGATTAGGGGGGGCAGCAGCCTATAGATTATGGGGGGCAGCAGCCTATAGATTTGGGGGGGGGCAGCAGCCTGTAGATTAGGGGAGTGAGCCGGGGGGGGGAGCAGCCTATTACATTAGGGTGTGCACCCTAAAGCACAAACACACACCATGTGTATATGTATATGTATGTGTATATATATATATATATACATATATATATATATATATATACACTGGTAGTGTGCTATGTGGGTGAGGGTGTTTTTGTGTGTGTTTGTGAGAGTGCTGTTAGTGTGCTGTGTGTGAGGGTGCTGTTTGTGTGCTGTGTGTGAGGGAACTGGTAGTGTGCTGTGTGTATGTGTGAGAGGGTGTTTGTGTGTGCGTGTTTGTGCGGGTCCTGTTAGTGTGCTGTGTGTGGGTGTTGTGTGTTTGTCAGGGTGCTGTTTGTGTGTGAGTGTGCTGTTTGTTTGTGGGTGCAGTGCGGGTGCTGTTTGTGGGTTTTGTGTGTTTGTGAGGATGCTGTTAGTGTGTTGGGTGTGTGGGTGTTGTATGTGTGTGGGTGCTGTGTGTGCGAGGGTGATGTATGTGTGTAGGTGCTGTGTGTGTGTGTGTTGTATGTTTGGGTGGAAGTGGGGGCAGATTAGTTAATATCCCAGTCCTGCTGCCTTCCCTGGTGGTTCAGTGGAGAGTGAACTCTAGCTCGCGTTCTCTGCTGCCTCCCTCCATGCTGCTGTGGACCGGTGAGGTAGAACTTTGATCTCCCCACCGGCCCATGGAGGCTTAGACCAGAGCCGCCGCTCGGATAGCGTCGGCTCTGCATGAGCCGACCGGGGAGATCCAGAGATCTCCCCTGCCGGTCTCAATCCATTGGCGTGCCGCAGGGATTAGGGTGTGCCCAGGCACACCCGACACACCCCGTGCGCACGCCTATGGAAGTGAGGGATGGGGGAGACAGCCTACATGAAAAGTCAGCAAGGAACAGGAAGGTAAAGTGAGAAAAGGAGAAGGAACAGAAATGAGCAGGAAGGGACATCAAGGAGCTGGAAGGGGCAGCAAGGAGCTGGAAGGGACAGCAAGGAGCACAAAAGGTAAAGTAGGAGAAGGAGCACAAAGGAACATGAACAGGAAGGGTCAGCAAGGAGCTGGAAGGTAAAGCAGCACAAAGGTAAAGTAGAAGGAGCACAAAGGGTCAGAAATGAGCTGGAAGGGGCAGAAGGAGCACAAACATAAAGTAGGAGAATGAGCAGGAAGGGCCTGCAAGGAGCAGGAAGGGCCTGCAAGGAGCAGTAAGGAGCACAAAGGTAAAGGAGCAGAAAGAATCAGAAGGAGCACAAAGGTAAAGTAGGAGAAAGAGCAGAAAGGGACAGCAAGGAGCACAAAGGTAAAGTAGAAATGGGAGCAGAAAGGGTCTGCAAGGAGCAGAAAGGGATCAGAATGAGAAAGGAGCAGAAGGGCGCAAAATAAGCAGAAAGTAGCAGTAAGGTAAAAGAGCAGACGGGGCCAAGGATAGAAAATAGTGTCAGAAGAAAAAAAAAAGACTGTCAAATGAAGGAGAGGAAAAGGAGATTGGAGCAGGAAGGACAAATGAAGTGAACCCTCCACTTTATTCTGGACACCACATCATAAGGCTTTGGTACCTGGGCCAGGCAGGGATACACTGGACCTTCTCATCTCCAAAGGTAAAAAAATATTGGTGTTAATGTGTTCACTTTTATTTACTGAGTGTCAGGAAGCACAGAGTGCCGTTGGGTAGGGGTGTTGCTGATTGGCTAGAGCGGTCGGCTGGCACTCTAAGCCAATCAGTAGCTCCCCATTCATAAAAAAGTCAAAATATTTTATGAACCGGGAACTAGCGATTGGCTTAGAGCGTCAACTGTCCACTCTAGCCAATCAGCGGCACCCATGCCTGACGTCAATCTGCACTTCCTGACACTCTGTTTCAGAAGCCAAATACCACTGAGCGACCTGGAGCTGGAGGAAGCCTTTGGGGTTAAACCATTTGAGAGCGATTTAACCCCTTAAAGGAAAGCGAGCACCCAGGGCTTCCTGGCATCATAGCATTTTCATTTAGGTGAAGTTGTTATGGTGACCAGAAATGTCCTTTAATTTGCTTAAAGGAACACTATAGTGTCAGTAATACAAACATATATTCCTGACACCATAGTTGTGAAAACGCTATTCACCCTGGCTTTATGTGATAATGGTTATGCCCCTTCCCTTTCATGACACTGTCAAAAAGGTACCAAGCATGGATGTCATTACAATTATGCCCCCCCCTGGAAAAATTCCTGCGGACGCCCATGCACAGCACACTAACACCACACACAGCAGTGTATGTGTGTGTGTGTGTGTGTATATATATATATATATATATATATATATATATATATACATACATACACACACACACACACACGGCGTGTGTTTGTGGTTTAGGGTGCACACCCTAATGCAATAGGCTGCGCACGCCTATGATTTGTCTGCTTTTTCCACCGGGTTCATTAGATACTGTCCCCACTTTTACTACTTTGGACCACCTTTTGGAACAAAACACATTGAACACATTGTTAAATCTCTCACAATGAGTCCTGACAAAGTGTGCTTGATCCCATAACTCTTACACCTATGCCACTTGAACAAACTACCAAACACAATGTAAGGAGAACAGAGAGTAAAATGTGATTGAGGAGAGATAGAGAGGGAATGTGTGGAGAGGGACACACACTATGGACATGACACAGGATCACAATGATCGAGATGGTCAAAATTGCCCATGGGGTATATAGGGACAACAAGGAGGATGATATGGGTTGAGAGGCACATGTAAGTATATAGGCAGTGGGACATAAGGGGTGAGGTGGGCATAATGAAACAAGTTAAGGTTTTGGGGGTATCAGCAGAGGGATACAAGTGGGGGAAGGATACAAGAATTGAAACATATGGCAAGAGATACAAAGGAGCAGATGAGTACTAATAAGGGGATATGGGGATAGACAAATGCAATGCACAAACACACACTTGCATACATTCATGCTAAACCACTGAAATCAAATACTGGCACTCTACACAAATACACCACCACATTTAAACACTGACTTACAGCAGAAATATAATACTACAATCACTTCCATAATGACACTCCACACAAATAAAACTCTTTACTTATGGTGTTTTGTGTGATTTGTATTGCTGTGGATTTCAGTAATGTATTTAATAAAATGAATATTGCATTACTGAACCCCACAGCAATAAAACCCACGCAAAGTTGTTCACCAAATACAAAAAATACATTTGCAGTTCAAATTTAAGTTTGCTGCAATTTAGAATTTAGCATTTAACCCAAGCAGTAATTTGCAGTCTAGACAAGTGTACTTATTTATTGTTTTATTTATTTAATTTTTGATATGCCAAGCTGCAGGAACAAAAAGCACTCAATGCACACTGTAAGGTATGGCTTGTCAATATTTATTTTTTACCTGTTTAAGAGCTAGACAGCACATAAATATGATCTAACATATCATCTTGTGTTTTATTCCATACTGACAGATACTTTTCCAGCACCTGAAATAATTGTAAAGCCAAAGTTGATAGTTCTACCAGGATATCGGCTTACTGTAACATGTATGGCTCCACGTACGAGCATCGTGTTTCTAATTTACCATAACCAAATGTTAGTAAAAGAAGATGCTACTGATGGAAACGAATCAATGTATGTCATAGAAAGTGCAAGTGAGAAAGATACGGGTATGTACATCTGTATCTACAAAACCAAACCGGACCGTAAATATAAGATTCAGTCCTGGAGGAGTAACCCCATGCAGATTCTAGTAAAAGGTAAAATTATATGGTAAACCAATATAATTAGTGCCTTAATGGAAATTTTATTGTTAAACTTAATACACACATTTTTAGAGTTTTATATATAATTGGATCCACGTGTAGACACAAACATACTTGTGTCAACTACATAGTCATAATTATGCAGTTTTGGAGCAAGTCTCAAAATTACAAGTCATGCACTACTTCACAGGCCTAAAAGTTAAAGGAACACTGTAGTGTTAGGAATAGAAATCTGCATTCCTAATGCTATAATATTCTTCTTTTTATTAGATTCAGGCTCCTCTAAATCTAAATAAAAGTGGGAACACAAATGGTTTTACTTGTATTACTTGCAATCAGGAATTTTGGGGTCCCTAACACTGCTCAAGCTCTGGGCCCCCGAGGGCCTGCCTCCAAGCCCACCCCCAAAACCTGCTTCCAAACCCCGCCCACATGAATACACAAACACAGACACAAAAAACGCATTGGTACAACGGCACTCTGTACTTCCCGACAATCAGTAAATAAAAGACACATTAACACTAAGATTTATTTTACCTGGGGAGACGAGAAGGTCCAGAGTTTCCCTGCCAGGCCCAGGTTCCAAAGCCTTATGATGTGGTGTCCAGAATAAAGTGGAGGGATCACTTCACTTGTCCTACATGCTCCAACCTCCTTTTCTTCTTCTTCATTTGACACAGTTCTTCTGACACTGTCTTCTCTCCTCATTGGCTTCTTCTGCTCCTTTACCTTTCTGCTACTTTCTGCTCTTTGCAGACCAATTCTGCTCCTTCTCCTACTTTATCTTTGTGCTCCTTCTGATTCTTTCTGCTCCCTTACCTTCCTGCTCCTTCTGTCCCTTTCTGCTCATTTCTATTCCTTTCTGCTCCTTCTCCTACTTTCCTTTGCACTCCTTCTGCCCTTTCTGCTCCTTCTTCTGCTTTATCTTTGTGCTCTTTCTAAATCTTTCTGCTGCTTCTGTCCCTTCCTTCTCCTTGCAGACCCTTCCTGCTCCTTGCCGCCCCTTCCTGCTCCTTGCTACCCCTTCCTGCTCCTTGCAGACCCTTCCTAATCCTTGCTGCCTCTTCCTGTTCATTTCTTTTAGTTTCTGCTCCTTCTCCAACTTTACCTTTACGCTCCTTCTGTCCCTTCCAGTTCCTTCCTGCCCCTTTCAACCCTTGCTGCTCCTTGCTGCCCCTTCCTGCTCCTTGCTGACTCTTTCTGCACCATGCTGCCCTTCCTGCTCCTTGCACACCCTTTCTGTTCCTTGATGTCACTTCCTGCTCATTTCTGTTCCTTTCTGCTCCTTCTCCTATTTTACCTTCCTGCTCCTTGCTGACCCTTCCTGTATGCTGCCCCCATCCCTTACTTACCTCCCTCTGCCCCCCACCCCCTCGCGGACACCCATGCACACACATACATACTGACAGACAGACATATACATACATACACATAGTGACATACATACAGATACATGCATACTGACATACATACTGACAGACAGACAGACATATACATACACATACTGACATACATACATACACATACATACAGATACATACATACTGACATGCATACACATACATACAGACACACATACATGCATACTGACATATATACAGAAAGACAGACATATACATACACATACTGACATACATACACATACATACAGATACATACATACTGACATTCATACAGACACACATACATACAGACAGACATATACATACACATACTGACATACATACACATACATACAGATACATACTGACATGCATACACACAGACAGACAGACACACATACATACATACTGACATACATACAGACAGCAGACATATACATACACATACTGAAATACATACATACACATACATACTGAGATACATACATACTGACATACATACTAACATACATACAGACACACATACATACATACATACATACTGACATTCATACAGACATATACATACACATACTGACATACATACATACACATACATACAGATACATAGATACTGACGTACATACACACAGGCAGATATATCCGTACACATACTAAAATACATACATACAGATTCATACATACACACAGACATACATACATACATATACATACACATACATACATACATACATAGAATATACATACATACTGACATACATACATACAAATACATACACACAGACAGACAGACACATACTGACATATATACAGATAGATAGATACATATAGATATACATACACACAGACAGACACATACTGACATACATACAGATACATAGATACAGACATACATACAAATACTGACATAATAAACACCAGCCGTCACTTCCTCCCAGCATTACTTGCAGCTGCAATTTTTTAAAGGGGCCTGGTCCAGGGCCGGACTGGGGATTCCAAAGCAGCCCTGGAAAAAAAAATCTATGCCAGCCCCATAAGTCATTGCGCCATATATTGTCGCATGTAAATGTAAGGCTATGTCTTGCAACCCTAGATGATTGATATATATATATATATATATATATATATATAAAAAAAAACAAATGGATCTTGCACTCCACCAATTCAATATTCAATGCCTGGTGCTTGTCAGCCAAAAATGCAAAAAATATTGCCAGAGATAGCACTCCAAGGACTAATATAAAATATAACTTTTATTACCTCCACTAAAACAACACAAGGTCAACGTTTCAGCTTGATCCCCTCAAGCTTTTGTCAGGACATCTCCTGACGAAAGCTTGAGGGAATCAAGCTGAAACGTTGACCTTGTGTTGTTTTAGTGAAGGTAATAAAAGTTATATTTTATATTAGTCCTTGGAGTGCTATCTCTGGCAATATTTTATATATATATATATATATATATATATATATAGCTTTTTCCAATATAAAATATTGGTCCTTTCAGAGTAAAATTTTTAATTATACAGTAAGCATACTCACATGCATACACAGACAATCTCACTGACACAAGCGGATTGATACACAGCCTCATACATAAGGTTATTGACATAAAAACACAAGCTCACTCAGTAGCAGGCACACACACACACACACACAAGCAAGCGCGCGCACACACACACAGCTTAATGTAGTGGTATTGGTGTCTATAGCCTGTCCCTGCAGGCTTTTCAATGTAAACACTGACTTTTAAGAGAAAAGGCAGTGTTTACATTGCTTCCTAGTGACAGACACTCCTGTGTCAGTGCGGATTGGCTGAGATCATCAAGCTTGATGATCTCAGCCATAGAGGCAGGACGAGGGGAGACCAGCATGACGTGGGGAAAAAAAAAGTGAGTAAACACACATACACACACACATACCATGACACAGACAGACCGTGACACAGACAGAAACACACACACCATGACAGACACACCATGACACAGACAGACACACACACACACACACCATGACAGACACACACCTTAAAAAAGACACATACACCTTGACACACACACACACCATAACACAGACAGACCGTGACACACAGACACACACACCATGACACAGAGAGACCGTGACACAGACACACACACACCGTGACACAGACAGACACACATTACATGACACAGACAAACACACACACACACCATGACACACACAGACC